TTCTATAACGAGTTTGGGGACCACCTGTGTTAGCCAAGTGAATATACCCCCTGCCCACAGGTTTCATTCCCTTCACACAACTTGATGTAAAGTCGGCGAACAAAATTAGTTACTTTCATATTGGTACACATACTTCTGGAGCGCCAAAATAGTCATATTGAAGAAATTGATTCGCAATCTAGCTTTGACAACTTGCGAAGACGACAAGCTGTAAAAAATAGATGTTATATGTTCTATTCATGCCCATTGAATATGTACAATCAACATAATTTGATACGCAAGCAGCTCCCTATCATAATTTGAAGTACGCTTTTATTGAGTGGAGCAATCGCTTAGAATACTTGACATTGACACAACAGTCATATGAAGATTTTACTAGGGGTTTTTGAAAGATAGTAGTAATGATATTACGATTCATAAAAATAGGAAAAAGTTAGGAAAGCGTATATAAAAATGTGGGCCTGCTCAACATTTGAATTATCTCATATCACTTCGTCTTCTACAAAGCTATTTATGATTGGGGATGGTTGTTTGATACTGATGGTCATTTGAATCAGACGAGGATACATTCGGTTGATATTAGTTAGACAGGTTTGATTTTAACGACAGCTTCACACGACGTGTACAGCCAGCCATGTTTTACTTTGTATTTGGTATCGTTCCATTAATATTATTTGGTTATTTAATCCTATTGTAAGGCATATTTATGGACACATTATAATCTATTTAAAATGCCATGAACTTGCGCTTAACATCAGCTTTCATTAAAGATTTAACAAATAACGGAAGCTGAGTTTTTATGCATAGTGGAATAAATATTGACAAAATAGGCAAAGGAAGTCATTTATCGAAAATTGTTGGAGACCACTGTTTTGATCTATTATGAGTTGAACTATATCTTCCGACTTTAACGTGCGTGGTTAGTTAGTTTATTTTAGAGAGACTGTTGTCTATTTGTTTGGGATTCCTTCAAAAAATTTCTAAACCTTGGATGAGGCAATTGAAGTCAAATTTCGAATCTAATAATAAATACTTTGTAACAACCTACAAGCTTCAAATAGAAATTTGAATGACCTCATCCAAATAAGCTCTTGGTCTACCAGCGAGCTTTTGGTGCATTATACTTCTCTGTAGTTCTCTCATTATACTTCGTTATACATACTGTAGGATGTTTCATGTCGTAATGAGTTCAACAATAAATTAGATCGACTTACTTGAATGACTTTAGGCCATTTTCTATTCACTGAATGAGTGATTTTGAAATCAATATTAAATATTTTGTAATTATTGTTATATTAACAATCTTTCAGAACTTTACTTTGTGGAATTTTTTATAAAACTAAAGATATTTACACGAAACTCGAAAAATGACCCGATTCGCTTCGCATGAATTCCTCATTTGCCCCTAGTTTCTATACCTTAAAAAGGGCCCATACATATCTATTTCTGTTATAAAAGGAACTCTAAACATGTCATATTTGGATATGGATGACGTATCGGAAAATAGCGCGAGAAATCGCTCAGGTGTAAATTCCCCATAGTACTAGTAAAATTATGCTGCAAGACATGCTCAAAGAATAATTGCTTTCATTTGTCAAGAGTTTTAAACTTTCAAAACAAATGTCACGCTTCCACAGCAGAGCTTCCACAGCAGAGCACGTAGCCGTTTAAAATCTTTAATTTGATTTTGGTTACTTGTGTTCACCAGAGATCCAATAGGATGTAATTCAAGTATGCGTAAATTGCCGATTATATTTGAAATTGTGTGGAAAACTGGTATAGAAAGTTATAAAGTTCAATATGTATATGAGATATAGTCTAGAGTCTAGACTCTAGCTCACATTATAATGAAAAAATACTTCTGGCATAGTCAGAACAGATGGTTATATTATAGTTCTTATGCATGCGAATTGGAGCCTAGATTTGAGATGAAATCCAATTTAACGTCGAACTTGATCAACCAACCCTATGGACTGAGTGACCCAAAATTAGCTTTGGAAATATCATTGTGCTCTAAGACTAAAATAACTACGAAGCCTATAAGAAATCAACTTTTCCGCATATGCGACGGCCTGATGTATGGCAGTATAAAAATAGTCAGCGGGGTTTTCGATATTCTTGGGATGATGCTAAGGAGAAAAGAAAGTTACACACTAGATATTTAAAAACGTTGATCTAAATACCTGATACATTAGTTGTTAAAAAAGGAAGTATTTCTTAAGGATGTCGATGAAGTTTACATTGATATCCAATACTTTCATTGCGCCCATTGGTAATGCGTATTAATTGACGCTATTTAATTTTATCTTTGTTGTATGGTTAAGCCTATAAATAGTCTCTCGAAAATGGCACCATATCAGTGTTAGCACAAATCCATTCAATATCGTTTCTTGTTAATTGAATGCTAAGGCTTTGAGCAAGTGTGTATATATATAAAAACTATGGCAAATGTAAAAGTCGGCAAAACCAAATTATTTTCATATATTGGTCAATTGGAATAAAATCAAATTAAATCTCTTTTCCTATACTTTGACTTTCTAGTTAATGTTTTGGATTTTTGATCGCATACAAATAAAAATCTAATGTATAACTAGCGCGTAATCTGACCTCAGTAAGGTGATTTCACTCTCTCTTTGCTTTACATAATCAACAGAGCGAATCTTAGTTAAGCGCTATGCTGCGAGTGCTTTGTTTAGTAGTGACGGACTTCTTGGCTTGCCTGCCGCGCTGGGGAATTACTGGGGGTGCTACTGGTTGGGTAATGTAAGTGCTTGAGTCGTAAAAGAGCGGGATTTTGAAATTATTTAAAGTTGAATCACAGAACCGATTACGTATGCTACAGAATTTATCATAGTGAGTTTCATTAGAGAATAGAAATAGCAGGATTGTAATTTCTCAACAGTATAATGCAGCGATTTACAGTTTGATCCAAAAAACAGAAGCCATAAATTCCTTAATTCCATTTTGAAAAATGAGAATAAAACTGGTTAATTTAGTTTGCGTGTGAATGATCTGTTTGTGTATGATTATACCCAAAAGTGAGTAATGAACAATTTTGCGTATAACGAATGCAAGTTTAATACCAACGTCGATGAGGTCGCTTGGAACATATTCTAATCTAGAGAATAAATAACTTTCGAGCAAAATGTCGTAGGTTCCTGAAACTTTCGGGTACAATCATAGACAAAGGAAATTCAAGGGTCAGCAAAATTAAATAAATTTACCCAATTTTTATAATATTACGAAATTTATGTTTTTTTCACGTTGTTTAAGATTCTATATATTAAAGTCGGGGATAAACTAAGCTTGCTAATCGGCTAATCCACAACACCCAAGAATTTCCCCACCATTGGAAATATTCCAAGAGACACTCATTCCTATATAGCCCAAACCAAATTTTCAAATGACAAAATATTTGCAGCGATCGTAAATGTTTACTTTTGTATTGGTACGATACATTTTTACATATTCACTCCGAATAGGGTTTTGTGCGAGGGGCGACATATACGCAAGAAGTTTCTACTTGGGGAAAGATTCGAAACCGGTATTAACTACAGGATATGAGGTTGAAACCCCAATATTCAATTGGCGAGGCCAACATAGCCACGTTCCTCGAAGCCAGTTGTTTTAATTTTTTGGTGGAGCGGAACCGCAATGAAGCATTTTAGCGACTCGAAGAACCCTTGCGCAATATTTGTAAGGTTGTTTGAAGAATTGTATAAACCATAAGTATATGTAGGAATAAACATAATACTGGGACAACATTATGATCTTCAGAGTGTTGCAACTTTAATAATAATGGCAAACTTATAGGTATTTGATTAGATTTGATAAACCCATGTCACTATATCTATTATTATACTATTTCTTTTTTGCTTTCTCTTGAATTTTTAGTGAACCAGAGCTCCTTTGAATGACCCTAATTTTGCAACATTTTATAAATTAACATTTTCAGCTATTTTGTGATTTTGTGTGATATTTACAAATTTCTAGATTTTTTCTTATCACTTTAATAATACTATTGTAAAAGGAAACCGTTCATAGGTCAATAACTTTGACATATTCAGCTTTGCATGAATTAACTTCACTCGAATATTGTGAGCGATCACTGGCGTGTAAAATCCGAGCCTAGCTGTTATTGCTAGCAACAGAAAAAGCTATAAATAGAAATTAGGGAAGTCAACAGATATTATACTATCAAGTGTCAGTTACATGCATACGCCACGGGCGTAAATTCCCCGGTCTGAGACGTATTTTTGATTCTGTCCACCTGTGTGAAGCTATGTTTGCATCTTAGCTTAATATATTTGGGTTTAAATACAATTCCTACCTTGCTAGGATGTAATACAATTGGCTGATCAAAGCCGACCAAAAGTTTTTATTTTAAAATATAATAGCTCTTAGCTTTTCATTGGTTGCTTTTTTAACGCTTTGCTGCGAGCAGAGCTAAGAAAACACTTCACAAGTATGTTGCTATAACCCTTATTAGGTAAATGTAGGTCAGACAAGTTTATTGAAATAACTAACCCTTTACGTAGCAATATGTAGTCTGTAAGGCTTCCTCACTGTAAGGACTTTTCTGAAATTTTATAAATATTTCACACTTTATATGAAAGAAGAAAAAACTTTGAACATAGAAACACAATTAGAAATGAGGTTGCATTTATTATTATCAACTCGTTTATGATAGCTCGGATTTTACACGTCAGTGAACGCTCACAATATTCGAGTGAAGTGAAGTCACGCAAAGCTTAATATGTCTAAGTCAATGACATATAAAAGGTTTCTATTTGCAAGACTATCATTGAAGTGATGAAAAACAAAATCTAGAAATTTGTATTATGATAGATACCTAATTAGAATTTCAATGAAAGTAAAGAAAAAAAATGCGTAATATTGTCAATACTTTATCCTACTGTTCTATTTTTGAACCTTAGCCCGATATACAAATCAAAGTATTGTTTGCAGTAAAAACAACTTATACATTTTCAAACAGGCAAAATTTTTAATTATTTTCAAACTGGAACTTAATATGTGAAACAAGATGACGTCTCTGGGTTGGAAATTTGTGATTTACAGCTTCATTATTTTTGCCCTAAATGTGGATTTACAAATTATAAATGGAGACTCAATGTGTGAAAGGTAAGTTTTAAAAAGATATAATTATTTGACAAAACAAACAATAAATTGTTCGAACTCTAAAACTTTAGTGGCCCCCAACTGGAGGTGGGGTGGGGTTGTAGGAACCGTTTTTTTTTTTCGAGATTGTCATTGCATACCCAATTTTATTACACCCTCAGCACCTATGCCCGAAAATGTCAACCTCCCAAGCCAACCCAATTAAGTCTATTGATTTATCTATCGGGCCATCACGCCCACGGGTTTTGTAAGCAGTTGGGTCAAAATTGACTTTGGCACTACAGTAATATCTGTAATCTATTATGGTCTATGAATTGTACCTGTTTCCCGAAGTATTCCGAAACACAATCTCAATTATTCATTTATCTACATAACGAAATTCCTATTTAGGCTATAAAAACAATCAGCAAAAAGAAGCATTTAAGTCCTTTATAAATTTAGTGCTTGAATTTGTTTAATTTAATTCGTGTCTTTATCTACAGAAAAAGTAAAGAAAAGAATCGATACAGAATATGCTTCAGTGATGATAACATCTGGTGTGATCTTTCGCTGCGTAAGATTATCCCACAGCCTAAAGACATGGAAAAACTATCGGTTAGAAGAAAAGCTTCAACTGCAATCGGGCTTTTTATCAATGATAGCTGTGTTGCAAGTTTAGAAAAAAGTAAGAAACATAAAAGCATTAATTTCATGTGGTATAAATGTGGATATAGACAAAAGTTCTCAATATACGTTTTTAAAACTAAAAGACTCATCTCAAAGCAAAGTTGCGGGTGGCCACTGAAATTCGATGGTCTACTGAAATTGTATAGATTTACCTTACTAATCGACAGTTGAATACCATCGCCCGCAGCAGCAAATCCGAAAGCAAGTTAGATTTTTATGCAGATACACAGATTATCTGTTGGCAACAGCATATTCCCCAGATTTACCGTTTTATAGAAATTAGCTGTAGAACCGATCGCAAATTGGGGGGGGGGGGGGTATTGAAATTACTTGTTTGTATCTAAAACAGCAAACGTGCTCAACTCCGCGTACCTATCCTTTCCGAAAATAATTATAGCAATTATTACACCCAACTTAATTAAAGCAGGATAAACAGAAAAAAATGTCTATTATATGAACTCTTCAAATTAGTGATTTAATGGTCCACTGTGTGACTTCAATTCATTATGTTTCCTTCAATTCGACTTCAAGTTTTGAGATGATAGTTTTCCAAAAAGGGCTTGACTTGATTTGGTTCCGATATACGCAAGAAGATTACCGCGAAAACCAGCATTGGTACATTTTGATAAGTTTCCGGTTCTTTCCAAATTTTGCAGAATCTTATGAGCTTAACCCAAACTTAATTAGGTAACACATTTACAAACTTTTGACACATACACTGAATATGTATTGTCTCGAAATTCACGATTTCCAAATCAGAAACTACGTAAATGAGTTTTGACCCAAAACAGGGGTTTCAAAATAATAATTGTTATCGATAACTGTTATCAAATATAATCTATAGGGTCAGAATCCCCATATTTATTAGCAAAAAAGGTGGGTTTTATTTATTTGGGACACCCTGTATATTCGGGTGACACGCGCTTAACTATTTCCCTCCTCTATGCCTTCGCGCCGGTGGATCCGTCTACATGTAATGCATGATATTTTAGATGGGATAAAGATGACTTTGGTATGTGATTTCAGAGTCTTGCACTAACACTAATGTATTAGTCGACTTATTCTTGCTTGAAAAAGTCTGACCATGTTCAGGCGAAACGTTACATAAGTACATGTGTACAAGACTTAAATCCGTGTATAGATTTTTATTATATTACGATATTTTCAATTCCACAGCATAATTATTATAGATATGTCAAAAGTTTATCGAACGTTACGAATTTAATTTACATAATCGCCGTTTACTCACGATAACAGTAACACGCCATACATACACAGTCAACACAGAATATACCATATACTAAATATATATAAAGACCATAAATCTGACGCCACTATGCCTGCGAAATCATTTTATTCATGTGTACAATAGCCAGAGATTAAACGCACGTTTAATGAAGATTCATCTTTGAACAATTCTGATTTAATATTCATATACAGTTATTTACTTTTGACGTCGATTATTGAAATATTGGAACTTGTGTAAATGTTTTCTGTCTTTTTGTTTGGCTATCATCGCTCCTGCTCAGCGACGAATGAAACTCTGGGTTAGCAACCCGTGCTACATTAAATAGAATACAGAAATTTTACTAATTACTCTAAATATTTCTGCACGCAAATATATTTCTGCGACGATTCGTCTGATTAAAGTCAGACTTTCTCAAACATACCTATAGAGTGTCCATAAAGCCTTACAATTTTTTAAAAGTGCAAAGGGAACTTATCGATACCCTATATTCCCTTGGACCTCACAGATGTATTAAATGAAATAAAAACTTGAAAAATAACAAAACTGCTGATTAAGATATATTGAGGACTGACTTCATAAAAAACCTGAAATTGTGAAGGGACTTTATGAACAACCCGTATTTCAACATTCCTGTTAATCTACAGCAATATTCTTGATTCACTTAGAATAGTTATCTTCACTCTTGCTACAGCATCCTTGCATCATATGCACACGGATTCACTGGCGCATAAGAAAAGAAAAGATGACTATTTCAAGTGAATCATAAGATTGCTGCAAATGGACACAAATATTTTGCATTCAGTGTTCCATTCAGACAAAACGTTACAAAAATATAATCGTGTTAGTGTGCACTCTTGAATTACCCAGGATAAATTATATTAATAAAAGTGAAGAAAATAGCTCAAAGGCTTTAGCATCACTTGTATTCTCAGAAAAAAAATTAACAATATTAATATTTTTTACAGATGATCTCGTAGGATATCCAAAGATCAGAGTAATCAATCTCGCAAATAACTCAATTGAAACAATACCTAAGGCCGTGTTTGAAAACAATAAAGATTTGGAAAGAATTGATCTGTCTGTCAACTTGATTACGGATATTTCACAACAGGCTTTTGCGGGTAAATTACCTATTATGATTGACGCAATTTCCTATTCATTGGTAACCTGGTAATCTAGCTAAAATGGTCTCAAAACCTAAAGCTAAAATAGTCTCATAGCCTAAACCTAACTAAAATGGTCTATTAGCCTGAATATTACAAGTTTTTAAACACAATTCGCGAGTCGAATCGAGTCACGGGTAATCCGAAACTTCAGTCAAGTTCCACCCCCAGCTAATTTAAAGTTTGCATCCCAAATCGTTTCGAGTTACTACACCCCTGTCCTGGGTAACAACTTCTATAGAGTCGATGCTGTTTTGAGCAGAAAGTCATGAACGAGTTATACAGCATTTCACAAACAACAGTGAATAGTTACAAAAAGAGAGTCTTATTGAACCCATACTTCCATCTTGAGTAGAAAAGCGTCATTTTGAACGTCTAATTAGTGACTGCAACCAGTTGGTGAATTTTCAATTTTTTCAGTATAACAATAACCCACCTGGTAAATATTATTTTTATCATTTTATTTTTGCTTTCCTAGTTAAGCCTCCCTGGCTTTAACGCAGTGGTTTCAACATTTATGGTGGAGCGGAACCGCGAAGAAATATTTTAGGTTGCGAAGAGAATTTCATAAACCATAAATATATAAAGCTAAACTGGCAAAATGAAGTGAATGTAGAACGCCAATAATAGTGGCAAACCTCATACCTATTTGATTATATATTAGTAATACTGGATACATAATGATATGGACTTTCGAATTGCAATGGAAACTTGTGTAACCGAGGAAAATTGCTGGCAGAACCATAGGGTGTTGGTTCTTGGTCGGTGTAGTAATTGCAAATGGATGGTGCACGTGGTATTTAGACATGTTTCCCGTATTATTAGTTTTCACATAGCCGCCACGAGAATAAAAGCCGCAAGTGAGCACGCGCATTACCAGTTTCAGTAGCACTTAGCCCTTCAGAGGTCGCCCGTAACTTTGCTCAGAGATCAGCCTCTTTCAGTGTTGATTAAAAACACGTGACCTGGCTTTGAGAACTTTTTAAAAAAAAGTATAGTGATTGGTGAACAGTAAGCACATAAAAATAAACTATATTTCCAGGTCTGACAAAGCTGACGTATTTGAAGTTGGATAACAATAGAATAACAGGAATTCAAAGCGGGACATTTTCTATATTGGCTGCTTCGCTGCAATTTCTGTCGATTCAAAACAATCAACTTGCGTCGATTGACATTGGACAATTTAATGGTTTGAAAAACTTGGAAACTTTAAACTTGAAAGGTGAGGAAATTGTGAAAAAATAAGACACAGTTGGTCGAATTGTTTGAACAAGATTTTTTATAAATTTATGCAGAGAAAGAGGAACGGGTTGTTATTTGACGAACCTTAAAGTTTGCTTAAATGTCTTGGTCGGATAAAGTTCACGTTAACTGATTAACTACTCAAGATTTTAATGCTTAGTTAAGCGATTAAGCAATCAGTTTTTTTTTCATAAAATTTTGTTCAGAGCATAGTCTTAAGATCTCAAATAAAAGTGGGGATATTACTAATACAAGGCAGCCCCCGCTAATCGCTACCACTTGAGCAAGCGATAAATTGTATGCTCATGTGCCCGTTTTGGACCAGCATGCTAATAGGGATGTTTGCAAAAAATCATTACTGCTTACTTTAGCGAGCATCAATACGGCAAGTGTAGTGAATGAATGAGAAATGGCATATAAATTCGTAATATGATCAGGAATTTTAGATGGAAAGTCATTTCTTACGATCGATATTGTTACATATATCATTTCGTGAAATAATTGGTATTCCCGAAGTATGTGAACCAAGATTGCGGACACCAGGACGTAGTATGTGTATCAGGTTAGTGTTAGGCCATAATTCCAGGTACAAATACTACGGGAGTTCCACGTAGTTTCCGATCTCGTATAATAGAACTAAAATGAGGAAAATTGTAATAAAATTATGGCCTATCCCCAACCTGGTACACATACTACGCTCCGGTGTCCGCCATCTTGGTTTACATACTTTGGGAGTACCAAATAATTTAGTTCTTAAAAAAGGATATCACTGAATCATTTCAATCACAACAATTGTAAACGTATGTACGTAAAAGGGCTCTCCGGAAGTATGTGTACCAAGATGACGCACAAACTGAAGCCTAACTAAAATAAGGAAAATTGTAATTAATTATGGTCTAACCCTGACCTGGTACACATACTTTGTTCAGGTTGTCCGCCATCTTGGTACACATACTTCGGGAGCACTCGTAAATATACTAAGTACTTATATGTTCCTCCTTGTGTACTATAGAGACTTTACTACCGGTGAATTGAAACCGGTTTTTGAATTCCACTTCATTTTATAATTACATTACAGATAACAGGATATCCCATATAGATGGCTCGGCGTTCTTTTCTTTGAACTCAATCAACGAATTATACCTTGACGGTATCCTAATTCGTGAATTCACCAACAATATGTTTGATGGATTAGAAAACTTGGAAATCTTGTCTATCTCAAATAACGAACATTTTGATAAATTGCCAGACGGTTTCGGGGTAAGTTAATTTTGATATAATATTTTTGAATTATTTCCTAAATATTTCAAATTACGCTTGTCAAACAGCTGTTATTGAATCGATCGGTTTTGCATGTATCTGATGCGTTTCTTTCAACCAAGCACGACGCGAATCCTTAGAGTTGGCGTTTTATTTTCATTTAGAATCGTATTTTCAACTTTTCCAGATTCGAAGTAAATATTTTGAAATTCCCGGCGAAGGGGAACATACTCATAATAATAATTTTAGAATTGTGAATGTCAAAAGCCGGACAAACATTTTTCAACTATATTTACTGAACCAAACGTGACCAAATCCCTGAAATGCAATCTCCCCTAATAAATCATTCGAAAAACAAATTGTTTATTTGTTTTTATGAATACTCGTTCTTATGTCACATATATGCAATCGTTTCGAATTACAATTATAGAAAATCGAAGTTTGTTTAAATTTTATTTTATTTAGAAAAATTTCCGGAACCTCCGGACACTAAATATCTCTTCCAATAACCTGGGAAATTTGAATTCCGACAGTTTCGACGATATGAAAAAACTAGAGTAAGTTTTTTTTAATAATAATTCGTTGCTATTCGGAATTTTTATTTGATTAATCCAGTGGTATCAACTTTTCTGTTGAGGCGGAGCCCAGTGAAACATCCCATAGGCTCGAGGACTTCTGTGCAGTTTGTCTTGCTTCGTCAGAATTATTAAATACAAATATATCCACACCCCTGATATAAATACTGTATGTGCATGAGTGTATGTGCCCGCGCGCGTGTGTGTATGTCCGAGATCAGAGGAAAGTCATAAAACGAATCTTGAACTCTAGTTATTGGTTATTCGGTGAAAATAATATAATAAATATTCTTTAATATACCTTCAAATTAAATAATCGTCATTTCACCTGAACTTGTTTGACCTGAAAGGTTAGGGTTTATTGTCTCAGGTCGACGTACGCCTATATGCGATACTAAGAACTTCAATATGTCTATGAAAATGAATGCGTGGGTGAATGGAAACTTACGCGGCGTCTAGTAAAGAAAATCGTATTCGTAAAGGGGAATTTGTAGCGAGATAACAAACTTTTGAAACGCAGTATATTCGAAATTAAAAATTTGGTAAACCAAATATAATTTTGTATGTTCCCAAATTTCCTATGTAAATATTGGGATAAAACGAATCTTGAACTCTAACTATTGGTTATTCGGCGAAAAAAATATATTAAATATTTTTCTATATACCTTCACATTAAATAATCGTCGTTTCACTTGATAACACCATATGAACTTGTTTGACCTGAAAATTAAAGGTCAATTCTCCCAGGTCGACATACGCCTATATGCGATGTTAAAAACTTCATTCTGTCTATGCAAATGAACGCGTGGGTGGATGGAAACTTACGCGGCGTCTAGTAAAAAAAATGTATTTGTAAAGGGGTATTTGTAGCGAGATAATAAACTTTTGAAACGCAGTATATTCGAAATTAAAAATTTGATAAACCAAATATAATTTTGTATACTTCCAAATTTCCTATGTTAATATTGGATTGAAAGAAGGTTTGCACGAAACAAATGAGGTACAGTGGGCAAAACTTGCTTTATTGCTACAGTCAGAGTCGATCCAAACCCAGAGTACCATTCTATCTGGTTATAAAAATTACTAGTCCCTAATTGTCAGCTCTAATATGAAGGAATTACAAGCAAACACAGAGAGCTTATATCACAACTTGAATTTGCCCAATTTTAGCATACTATTATGATATGGATAAGCCTACTGTCACCCACCCAAACCTAGGATACCAAACCCATGCAAATATATATAGGATTCGCAATTTCATTGATTGCCATTTGAGTTTCGAGAAAATATAAACTTCTTCCCGAAGAACGACAAGATTCCTCTCAAGGCAAGGATTTTTGCCTGGGTTGGGAAATGTGGCCTTAGATTATGCAACCACCGACTAACACTGATTCCAATTCTTCAGAAAACTTGATTTGGGGAATAACTCTTTGACTGAAGTCTCCGAAGCTCTCTTTCTCAAAAATACCTATCTGACTTTTATTGATCTGAGCCATAATTATATTGAGGACATACCAAAAGAAACATTCCAACATTTGAGGTAAAAAACTTTTTTTTTTTATCATTTTATGTTATGTAGAGAGAGAGAGAGAGAGATATTTTTAAAACAAAAAACAAAGTCAACACTATTACAAACATAATCCAATAACAAAAATATTAATCAGTAATAACAGTATTGTATTATTGCTTTCTGAGTGTCGGTGTGCAGTATTGATAAATATCATCTAGGCTCCCAACCCTTGTGTACATGCTGTATATAAATAAGCTTATAATGACATTGTATTGTACCATACGTGAAAGCAAATGAGATTAAATATAGATATGCAAAATATAAATAAGATAAAGAAATGAGTGAATAAGCAGTGCAGGGTTACTCAACTAGTGCACCTAGATTTTATTAAAAGGATTGGTGACGACCAATAGATAGCATCAAAATTTTATTCATTTTTGTCATTCGGATAAAACACATTCCATTATACATACTTCATTTGTATGGATGCATAAGTGATTTTTGTAGCAATAAGTTCCCTGAAGCCATCTGAAGAAAGCAAAAAAAATGTTTTGCAATTTTTTGATCAAGTGTGAAGGGTAGAATATAGAATATACTATTATTACTGATACTGCTGTTCCATTTTTACCAAATTTTCATGGACATTTTTTCTAAAACCTTTTACTAAATTATTTTTGTTATTTGTAGACAACTGATGACGTTACTACTCCAGAATAACAAACTATCAACTCCGCACAAAGAATGGTTTGCACAGCTGGTCAAACAAATTGATCAACGAATGATTGAAGTTAACATATCTGGTAACGAATGGAATTGTGACTGCAATATTTTAGAATTTTGGGTAAGTGTTTAGGGGCTCCAGAAGTGTGTGCACCAATTTGGAAGTAACTAATTTTGTTCGCCTATCTTACAAAAAGTTGTGTAAATGGAATGAAATCTGTGGACAGTGTGTATATTCACTTGGCTAATAAAGGCAGTCCCCAAACTTGTGATAGAACTAAAATAAGGAATTTCGAGATAAAATTAGACCCTAACCCTACCTTTGTACACATACCACGGGGATGCCAGTTTTCATGTGTTAATCGTTTTATATTGTTACATAGTGTATACAATTCGATAAAATATTTTTGATCCCCTTAATATTTCGTATTTTGTCCAAAAATCTTTTTTATTCACAAGTGTGCTCGAATCAAAGTCACAAACATTTAAAAATAATGTTAAAAGTACGAAACTAGAAGAGTATCAACCTACTTGTCCCACGCCCTCAGTTATTTATTTAATTTCTTTTTTCTTGAGCTATACGTGAGCAGTTGATTATGTTAACAAATATGTTGAATTTGAAAAATTACCTTTGTTAACTACAAGTCTATTTATCATTTATTTACTGAGATTTATGACAAAATAATTAAAACATCAGGCCTAACCACATCTCAATATCCCGAAGAAATTAAAAATTTAATATTTATCATAAGTCCCTTACATTTACAGGATTTCGCTGAAAATCTTAAGAGAAGTAGAAGTACGACATCAACAACTCTTGCTGATCAACTTGAAATTAAATGTCGTTCACCAAAACTCGTTAAAGACGACATATTAAATACAAACGTAGCTTTGCATATCAAAAATCGTGACAGTCAACAATGCAAAAAATCATCAACCACAAAAGCATATCCTATCTCATCTCGCGAACAACAAACTCCGAAAAAGATCACTATAATTACTAACACTACTACATCCACAACTCCCATAACACCCAGCAAAGCTCAGACCATAAATACCCCAAAGTTGTTGCAAGTGCAAAATGAACATTCTACTGACAAACCAACATCCATCGTCACTGAAACCCAGATTGGGGAAAAATCAAATTTGAAGGCGATAATTATTGCGCTAGGCGCAGTTATAGTCATTATAATTCTTGGTGTCCTCATGTGGTGCAGATGTAGGAGATTACCATTATTTCAGGCAAAATTAAATTCGAAAAAACAAAGAAATGATTCGGGAGAGCCGTTTTTGGACCCAAATGATGCAATATTGATGAGAGAATCGTCGCAAGAGCCGTTCTCGTCCGACTCAAGCATAGAAGGTGGGATTGTCTTACAACGAATCAACCCACGACAGGGACGCCTTCCATCTATCCCAACACAAATTTCCATTTGCCCTAGTCGAAGTAGCATAAATGATCAATATCACCAAAGCAATTTAACGTATCAGTCCGTTGCCCCCTTCACAACGCCTGATCATACACAACTGCAGCACCAAACTTACCCTCAAATGCCTTTGCCAAGCGTTCCTCAAGCACCGTATCCATCTGGGCATCAAGTGATGATAACACCATCTCCGGCATATTCAATACCTCCATCAATGTCACAAGTTACTAGACCAAAAGAAATTAGAACCGGATATGGTAGTCTCGGACCTGCCTTATGGGAGAATAATAACAATACCGCTAAATTCGACGATATTCGACTGGAAACAATAAATGAGAGATTACCACGAGTTCACAAAAAATCGTTGTGTGAAAATTGCGGCCACGAATCAATGCTAGAAGCCATCACAAGACCAAAACGATTGTATACTAGCGAGAGTAGCGTCGGAGAGGTTTTAGATAGCCTTGAAGCAGATTTATCAAGGCGTAATAAACCCGTACGCTATAATAGTATGGAAGACGTTTTTGAGTCTTGTGAAAGTCTGGCAGCAGAAACAAAGCCCAAACTACCTGTATCAATACCTTTGTCATCGCTGCTTTCGGAAAACAGCAACGCCGATTCTAATGAAGCATTGCAAAGTATTGAATTTTTCTCTATCGAGACGAGAGCAGATGGAGACGGTGCAGAAGCCCGTAACAGTCTTTTTTCAAGCTTGAATCAAAACCCGCCAATATCGTAAAGTCGTTACAAACGAAATTTGCGAGTAGGAATAAAACGATGGACGATTACACCCAGTGTCAAGCGAGTTTGTGTGCGGTCACCGACAAACACACCCGCGTGTGCGTAATATGATATCGCGTCGAGCAACCGCCATGATATTCGAAAACAGAGTCGAGATATAGAATAGCTTAGCGAATTGCTTTAAAATGCTGAGAGCATTAGATGGGGGTTTTCATTACAAACTTTGTTGAAACTTGAGCATGTTCAACTGCAAGTTTATATCATTTAAGCTTGCTGTGTAAATTGTGGATCGTTTTAATAAATTGGTACGCCAGTAATGGCTTGTCAGCTGAACTGTGAATACGTTTTCACCTTGAGGCAAGGTCTTGCAATTCATTTGGCTAAATATTCAAATAGAAAAGCACATGAATAAGAACAAAACTGCTTGTTTTTTTTTAGACGGAGTTATTTTTTATTTTATTTCGGATCAAACCAATGTTGATCGCAATTATTTTGAAAAAATTACTGGAATAATGTCGTAGAAAAACATTGCTATCTACTATTTTTACATTGTGTTTTGGACTGATATAAAAACGTAATGAACAAATTGTATAATGAATTTAAATGAAAAACTACATTAATAATTATGTTTGACAATTGTGTAATTCAGTTACTTATTAAATGATTTTCATTTTGGCAAATTTATTTAATTGTGATTTGAAACAAACACTCGCTTACACCAAGGTTAGGGCCTAACCTTCGTGTATTTTTCCTTCGTCTTATTTTTTGTATTATACTTAACCGTTTTTTAATTGTCAAATTATCATTATTTTAACTGTATTTCCAAATAAGTTCAAAAATCTCCTGATTAATTTTAATTTTTATAAATTTTAAGCTTTGAAGACCAGCACTCGCGATGCTGGTAGGAAAAACTACTAACTCGCAAACAGTGCTACGTTTACATAAAACACTTATTTAATAATGCAAAAGTGCGACTTTGTGGGGATGCTTCAAGTTTTCTATCCAAATAACCCTCTTACTATATACATCAGAATAATTTTTCTTACTTGTTCTTTTCCTATTATGATGCTTTACCATTACTTTCATCGCTATTTTTATACACTTTGCGTATGCATTGGTATAACGTTCAATTATTTATGCATGCGACCCATACATCTGAATTTTTCAGGCACATACGGCCAAAGACCAGTGGTTGAATTTAAAATTTTAAAGACGGGTTATCTTTTGTATCGAACCTACTAACAACTGGTTTTCTTATTTTATAGAATGTATTTCACGGGTCAAGAACGTTTTTGCTTACTATCACAACATTCTGAGTAGGTGCGCGCAAACCTCCTGAACAGTGCGAACCCCTAGGATAGGGCGAACCCCCTGAACGGGTGAAAATCCCTGAACGGTGCAAACCTCCTGAACAATGCGAACCACCTAAGCCGGTTCAAACCCTTTAAAGAGTGCGAACCCATGGAACAGAGCGAACCCCCTTAACCGATGTAAACCCCCCAAAACAGTGAAAACCTCCTAAACATGTACGAACCCCTAAACAGTGCAAACCCCCTGAACAGCGCAAAGCCTCTTAACAGTGCAAACCCCCTGAAAAGCACAAACCCCATTAACCGGTGTAAACCCTCAGAAGCGGCGCAAACCCCTTGAATAGTTCGAATTCCTTGACCAGTGCGAACCCCCTGAAACGTCGAAAAAACCCTGAACTACGCGAACCCTCTGAACAGTGCAAACTCCCTGGACAGTACAAACCCACTGAACAGTTTATACATCTATCAATGTAATGAATATTACATAAATTTGTTTCTCGCAGCTATTGGAAATGGTCTGGAGCAACTGTGTGTGTCAATCGCCTCTACCATTGTGTAGATACAATTGTGTGAATGATGTGTTCGTTTATTTATACTGCTATGATCATCTGTAGCCCCCAATCTTCAACAGGGTTTCTATACGCAAGTCATCAATATATGAGCATCTAGCGCGTGTCATTAAATAGTCGTATGCATATATAGTAACTAAACAATGTAATGCAATTAGTATTCTGTATTTTTATTGTGATTTGTGCCAAATACATTCTGAAAACTTAACTTGTTTACTGTTTTAACGGTATTTGTTAGTTGTCAAATGCTTTAAATAAACCACATATTTATCCAATTTGTTGAAATGACTATATATCAGCCAGAAAAAGTAGATTTCCCAAGATTTCATGGTCTGCGGCACGCTTTTAAATTGAGACTCAACACTTGTTTTCCCTCTGCTCTTCTATAAACTTTTTTGCTTTTAATTCGTCTGCACCAGTTATTGTAAGCGTCGCCTTAAATGTAAAAAAGGACTCTGTTCGTGACCCACATATAACCGCTTCGTAGACTCTTTGGCATGCCGAGGGCCCAGCTTGAGAAACATTGGCCAGGGATCAAAAATTTCGCCCACCGAGACTTGAGGGACATGTGAGCAGTAGTGGGATTCAGTCGGTTTGCTTCTGTTCTATAGAAACGTCTCACGAAATTTTATGAGACCAGCGAACTGGTTGGCATTACTGAAAAAAACATGACTTTTTGTAACAGAACCGGCTGAAAAATATGACATTTGTGTGATGGAACCGGCTGACAAAAAATTCGAATCCCACTACTGCATGTAAGTATGACGTCAAATCAACAACAAAATTTGGTTTGGTTGTGGCAGCATCAGGTGGGCCAGATTTAAATTACCCAACTGGACGGATATGGCCAGCGGTACGTAGTTTGCCTATGGCATGGGTAGACTTCAGAAAGCGGCGTTTTTATTTTATTTACATTTGCTATCCATTTCAATGAATATATTCATACTTTGTTTGGGCAACAAACGGGGTGAGCAAGTTAAAATTATGAAATATAGTTGCGTCAATTGTCCTTCAAAGTCTACTTTAGATAAACTTTGATAATAATGAATAAACTACCAATATTGACTGGCACTATTTAAAAAAACTTGGACCCTTTGTTGCAGAGAAAGAAGAATTTTGCAAGATTTTGTTTTACCACAACAGTTATCCTAACAGCAACAAAAACAACTTGGAAAAGCCATTCATAATTAAACTTCGCATCAAATAAGAATAACAACGACCAAGCAAAAAGATGTGTCCGATAATTTATTACAGTTGAAAATACACATAATTATTTACGCGGTTTAGTTACGCAAAAGACGACTCAAGTGCTATACCTGAAACACACCCCTCGCACATTTAACTCATTGCGTGACGATTGATGGATATAAACGCGTTTTGCAATAGAATAACTAATTACGTAACAAACTAAATCCATTATCTTAGCGGAATATATTCGTGATAATAAAACAATGACATTTTTACTTATTCTTCGGTTGAAATAATGCAATAGAAGTAATGTTCGTGGGCATAAAATATATGGGTATTTTAATATTTTAGCTAACTTCACAATGTGAGTAATAATTTTATCATTCGTACCGTGCCTCATAAAGTATATAGTTTATACAAATATATCGCAGGATGCATTATTTTGTAACATGAACCGCTAGTAGTCGCTAGTTAGTCACTTTACGTAAAAATAAAACTGTCACACTTTCAACGAAGGGTCACAAAATAATGATTCCTATTATTTTTCAAGCCTAAACCTGAACCGGAAACCCTTTTACAACTTCCAACCACTCTATTTGCACCTGTGCAGTCATAAGTTTTATCCCTGAGTTCACGAAGTTAATGATTCTCTTTAAACCTAGATGATCAGTAAACTTAAAATGCTTCCGATCGTAAAATATTCCTTTCGATCTCATAATTTTTTTTTATTCCCTGTTTAAAACTTGATTAAAACAATTTAGTGGGAACGATAAGAGTTTTGTTTGTCATGTGCCGGCCATTAAATAGAAAACACACTGTTAGTGATCTCTCGTGAATGGATAAGTAAAGACTATAATTTCAAGCTTTGAGGCAGTGGTGTTCTGCTTGCCTTAATTCCTGCCGTAGTCGAGTTGTTTGTTACACACTATCTTTAAATGTTTATATACGTAGTATAACCTGGAGAAACCTTGCTCTCCGCCTGTAGTCGCTAAATAGTTACTTTACCTAAAGAACAATTTCGCATTGTCAACACAGAGTTGACAACATAAGACGTTCATCACAACCATTTTTTTTAGCCAGAGCCCGAACCTGGTGAATGGAAAACTTTGTATTCGTCAGTGTATTATTTGGTTTTAATCCCATTAGTTCATAACGTTAATAATATTTCTCCTCTTAAACCCAGGTGATCAGTAAACTTAAATGCTTCCGATCGTAAAATATCCCCTTCAATATTTTACTACTTTTAGTCACTGTTTAAAAGTTGATTGGACAATTAAAGGGGAAAATATCAAGAGTTTTGTTTGTTTTGTATTGGCCATAAAATAGAAACACTAAATGTTGAAGATCTCTCGAGATTCGGAATAAAGTTTAAAGCTTCAGTCAGGGTTTTAACTTAATCTTTTCTACAATTAGAGTTGTGATATACTACCTATAAACGTTAACAAAGGAAAGCCGAGTTATTGATAAAATATTTTTTATTGTGTGTGAACAATCAGCGAACTGTATGAGTGGTGAATGTTATGTGTTAAAAGGACCCAATACAATAAGAGATAACTTATAATTACATTCATGATAAGTATTCGAGATCGATTCCATATTTCATATTTCATTAAAATATTTCATTTAATTCTGAAATCAACAGGTATTCGCAAATGCTCATCCCTAAATATATACACGTGCAACAGACTACTATGTAAAGTTGTTGGTTCCTTTGAAGCCGAAGAAATAAAAGCACAAAATTGAAATGTTTTTTAATCGACCTAAGAAACAGTCTCGTGTGAAAATTTTATATTTGAACATCTGGCGATGATGCGTTAGCTAAGAAATGACTCATGAAGAAAAGTATCTATTACGACAATCATTTATTTGTATATTGATACCCATTTGAGTATTTTGCACAATACCCTTGTTTCATTATATTGGAATAAAACATGCAAATTCGTATTCTCTAATACGTCAAATTGGATGCTTTGATTGTTTGATGGGTCGACAGGTTATGTTTTTTCCATGTATTTTTGGCGACAATGGTTTGTATTTTAAAGAATATTTGCATACTAATTATCTATTGGCGTTTTTGTCTAATTTTACACATATATTTGAAAAGAGCACTAAAACTAATACCCATGTTCCATTA